ACTGATTTTTTTTTTCTTTATGTGAAAGGTACATTAATGCGTTTTGTGCAGGTGAGTTACACAATTTGGGGATTTGAGGGAAGGGGATATTTATATATCACGTTGAGTCCGATAATTAACTAGAATTCGTTGATTAACTTTTACAATTAGCGAAAATAAACATATTGTTCTAATTAGAAACTTACAGAGCGTCATTGAAACCCACAAAATTAGTCAATTTCAGATGAACTTGAAGCACGTGGGAAAAGCTGGGGAGCGCCAAAGTTACCACTCGAGCAAGAGGCAAAAGGCAGCGGGTGCGACAACCCAGAACTGCTAGCCTTGTGCCTGTTGCATTTGCAAGATTTGAGTATCACTTGGGTCGCGAATAACAATGTTGTGATAGGGGTGTAAAACATATACACAAATTTTTCCTTCTTTTTTTTTTTTTTTAGAAGCAATTATTATTGTTGTTGTTGTTTTTTGCAACAAAACTTAGTGAAAATTAGGGGATTATCCTTTCAAAAATACAAGAAATGTTCGAGAGCCTTACTAATAGCATCGAAAAGCTACCTGCCTTTCATCATAGCATCTTATGATTGTTTTATCTAACCGCGATCTAAATTGGAGCAAGTCTTGTTCGTGTTTTTTGTAGTTCACCTGTTATTATTTTACTACATATATTCGTCTTCCAGGTGGTCGCCTGAAAACAAAAACGCTGATTATAACGTTACTGGTGAGAAATTAAACAACAGTATTGTTGATAGTTTTGAACGCTTATAAAAGTGCAAAGGGCCATCGATCGTTGCACATTTTAGCTTTCAACTGCACATTGTTGTAATCACTTTTTCGGATTGTTGTTGTTGTTGCTGTTGTTTGTTTTGTTTTTTCGCTGTTTACAATGCAAAATATTCAGATATTCGACTCGTTCATTTCTACTTCTTCCAAATTCACTTTTCTTAGTTCAAAACAAATTTTGAACCATGTGCGTATGACAAAACATTGAATATCAGCGATAACATAATATCCCTACTTTCAAAAATACGCAACTGGAGGTTTTTGCGCGTCAACCAGAGTTGCATATATTGCGATCTGTAGGCAGAAATTTTGTTTCGAAAAGAATTTCACTTCAAAAATAAAACTCAAGTTCAAGTTCATTACCGTCAAAGACGTCCGTTCGAGCGTATTACATAAGGGGGGGGGGGGGGGGGGAGGGGGAGGGAGTGGGGGAGAAATATTTAAGTGAAAGCTTGCTTTCTGCAGAACACGAGACAACGAATCACCAAAGACAACAGAAGTGGATCCCAGTGAATGCCGAAGCTCATAATACGATTAGATGTCGAAAATGCGATGTGCAGGATGAATCGTCATGCTCATTGTCCCCGTAGACATCGTATTTTTGCTTTCATCGCACTCTAAGCTTCGACATTTGCTGGGATCCTTCTCTTGTCTGCAGTGATTCGTTGCCTCGTGTGTGAGTTTTTTTTAAGTGGATGGCCACTGAGAGGTCAAGAAAAAAACTGAAAAACGTTTACAAATCTCTGCAATGCGAAACCAGAGCGCAGCTTTTGAGCTATCTTGATTTTGCGATATACCGACTTAGAAAAATTGAGGAGGAAATATCTATATGTGCAGATATAGACCTCGTACTCCTGCGTAGATAATATCAATTATATATATATATACACATATATATATCAAAGATGCGTACTGTCGGAGTTACTGGTACGAAGTATATTGCGGCGTTTCGAACGGGGACCTGGGGTCCCCGCTCGAAACGTTGCAATAAACTTTGTGTTAATAACTCCAACAGTACGCATCTTTGACTTATTAACTATTCCCGGTCCATTGTTTTATATTTACCCTACTTCACCTATATATATATATATTGTAAATATTTATTATAATATTATTTATGCAAGAGGGCGGAGGAGGGGTAAAGAGGAGGAGGAAGGGAGGGTATAAAGAACCCTCCCATCCTCCTCCTCCTCCATACTCTCCCCTCCTTTTACAGTTGCCCCGCTAATTTTAACTGCAAAATTGACGCCCCGTGACCACAACGCCAATTCAGTTTCTCCGCTAAATTTAGGGTGGAAATGACGTCAGATGAGCGTGTCCCGTCACCTATGAACGAATTCAGTTTCTCTGATACATATAGCGCGAAAATTGACGTCGCGTGACCTCAACACCAAATTGATTCCCCGCTAGAGTCAGCGGGGAAACTGATTTGGTGTTGAGGTCTTATCGCGCCAGTTTTACCGTTGAATTTAGCGGGGAAACTGAATGCGCAGTGTTGCATTATATGGGACGTCACAGACCTACACACCAATTCAGTTTCTTCGCTAAAATTAGCAGGAAATTAAATTGGGGTATAAGTCTGTGACGTCCCATATTGCAACGCGTGCGGTTACGCCGACGCCACGAAACCCAGGAACGAGCGCCAAAGAGCTGAGCTCTAAAGCAGGATGTGACGAGTTTCGAGCATCTTATTAGCGCTACGCAGCCAATGAAAACGCGGCATTAGCCACCCCAAGAAAGCCGAAGAACCAATCAGAAAGCAAGAATCGTGAAAATCATTAGGCACGCCCCGCAGCGATTACGACCACGGAGAGTTTGGATGGAAAGAAAGAAAAAAACGCCATGTTTTCTCGTTTTCTCGTTCTTCTCATTCAATTCGGTCACTCGTTTTTTTTTTTTTTTTTTTTTTTTTTTTTTTTTTTTTTTTTTTTTTTTCTATTGGGCGGTGCTTGTGTATAAATAGCATCACTGCATAAGGACTATACTTCGTTTCACCTTCGGTCCGAGCGCGGCCGATGTTATGAGCTGAAGGGCCAATCAAAGACCGCAAAAAACGCAGCGTCATGGCGTGTATTTGGCGCTTGATAGGACTAGCCGGCGGAGGAGCACGCACAGAGAGGCGGCGAATACCGGCTGGTCCTATTAACTGCAGAGAGCACGCCATGACGTTGTGCCTCTTTCGCTGTTTGATTGGCCCTTCGGTTCATAAGATTGGCCGCGCTCGGACCGAAGCTGAAACGAAGTATAGCTGTGTCTGATCTTCGTGTATTTAAGACCTAGGAGCGCAAGTCATTCGTCTGCTTTTTTTGCAGGGGTTGTGGTCACGTCAGAACGCCGAGCTCTAATTTGCTCCGATTGAAGGAGAGTGGGTAGACCTCAAAGCAAGCAGCCTCGATGTCTAACACACTATCCTTTAACCAGAGCCAATCAGAAATCGGCGCGCTGACGTCACCACAGCCCCTGCAAAAGAAGCAGACGAACTTGCGTTTCGCATAGTCACCGACAGCTTAAGAAACGCGAGGCGTGACCTTTTATGATCACCCTTTTTGCTTTGTGTTCGGTTCCTCGGAATTCTTATTGGTTAATGCCGGTATCTGATTGGCTGTGGAGCACGTTAATAAGATGCTCCGTACCCGCCACGCGCTGCGTTTCTTGAGCTGTAAACGAATATCAGGCTGTTTGAAATGCCGAGGCTTAATCTAAAATGGGCCTTAAAAATCGGCGCCCCCACGTAGCAATCAAAACTTTTCGTCGAAGGTGTATTTTACAGGTGGGTTTAACATCGTCAAATTGAAAGGTGTATAGCTCCCTTTTTGTAAAAAACAAAACAAAAATAACATAGGGCCAAATAGCTTGCCACGGTTAACGACGTACGGCGACGCAGACGACCGAGTCGAATGCCGGGGCGCGTTTGGCGCACGTATTGGCAGATAACATCGGGAGCAGTGTCGGAAGGTGTAGCCGACCAGCGAAAAAAAGCGGACGACATGCAGGCGAAATACGTCGACAGCAAGAACGCCGTCGTTACGCAACCACGTTTTCTTTTTTTCTTTTTTTCTTTTTTTACTTTAAGTTTTGCTATTATTACCTGCATTTATTTTTTTAACAAAAGGTACATTTCAATAAGATTATGTTCATTTTAACAGACTACGGTCGTCGCAGGCTTTCTCGATATTAAAGCAAGCTGGAACAAGAAGGTAGCACATGCATCCATCGATACGTGCGTTCCGCACGTAGTGATGGATGCATGTAGCTACCTTCCTGCTACCAGCTTGCTCTGAAAATACCAACTCGACTCGCTCGTCTGCGCCTGCGTCCACCGTTAACCCTAACAAGTTTTTTTTTTTTGTCTTTTTTTTTTGTTTTTTTGTTTTTACGAAAAGGGAGCTACGCCTTGTAATTTTACGAGGTTAAACCCACCTGCGAACTAAACCTTTGAAGAAAAGTTTCGATTGCTACTTGCAGGCGTCGATTTTTACGGCCCATTTTATATCGAGCCTCGGCATTTGAGCCTATAGATGACCGTATGGCAATTCAAAAATCAGGGCGTGGATGCCCCTCCATGCCGCAGCCTATAGCACGTTAGCGTTTCCTTGTAAAAAAAATGCAGAACAAATCAATACACGAGCAAAAAATAAAAAATGTGGCACGACACAGATTTATCATATCAATCTACATAACATAACGTTGATGTAATAAACGAACACTAACCAACGCAAAGAACTCTCAAACATAAATTTCCAAATGTAGCACGCTGTGATGCCTTTTGACGATATGTTATAGCTATGGGTCATTGTATCGCAGGGAACCTTCAAAGCGGTACTTTTTATATGTAGAAAACAAAATTTTAAAATCTTATTTTAGTTCATATAGAGCGACCTCTGTTTATGCTAAATCGGGGTCAAGCCTGTCTTTAGAAGACTCTATGAGATGATTCCACACAATATTGTCACTCTACCAATGTAGCGTCATTATAAGACCTCATAAAGAAGGTATTTTGCCGAAAAGTTCGCTGTGGCTTTTATACATGCTTAAGAGGGAAAGTTTTTAAGTTTCAGCGTAATCTCCGGATGCCGTAAAGAAGCTGGCATTACTTACGCGTGGTGATGCTCTTCTAGAGGGCATTAATACATTTCTCGTTATAGTATTTTTGTCCGTCTTATTTGTTCCAATCCTCTGAAGAGAAAACTAAACCACCCTTTCCGTTCTGCTTACTGTTGCAGTGCGGAAGGAAAACGAAAACCTGTTCCGGCTCCCGACGTCCACGGGCCTGACGACGCTGCCACCACCTACGGCTACGGCCACCTTCGTCGAAAACGCCACCACCAGTGCGCGGGCAGTCGGCTGACCACTGCGCATCGGAGGGACACCAAAGCCGCCTTCTGGTGCCGCCAGTGGGTCAGCGTGCGGCGACTGCGACGGAAGTGCAAGCATACCGGTGTTCAAGTCCGTACGGTTCGCTCGAACTGGACTCGAAGCACGGCCCGACTTGGAGCCTGTGTCGTCTGCAGGTGGCGATCGCCAGTAATTTTAAACGGGCAACGCATCCACGAGCTGTGCTACCTGCAGCGTTTCGGAACGTCTATGAGCGCGTACGGACCACAAACATTTCTTTCTCCGTGTACGCGAAGGCAGTGTGAGCTTACTTCAGGTTCGAAATCAGGCGAAACTGAGTCAGAGGAAAACGAGAAATCAATAGTATTCTTGCTGTTCTCGACTTTTATTTGTTTTCCCGCGAAGTATACACCTGTTCAGCGGCGGCAGATTTGTAACAGCAACGAAAACGACGGATGTGTCATCAGCACTATCAGGTTTTGGAAGCTTAGTAAAAGGGATCGGCTTTTATTGCGAACAAAGTTGTATTTCAAGATAGCAGGCAACCACAATGGGAAGGAACAATTCACCCCAAACTTTACGACGCGAAAAAAAAAATTGCGGTCTCTGACAAACTGATTTTGATTTGCATTAGAATAACATTCCCCGCAGAGGTAGTAGATCGGAAAAAAAAAAAAAAAAACTACACTAATTCGCAAGGAAGAAACCTGTTCACTGCACACACATTTCCGTCTCCCCACTGTTCACGCATTACACTGTACAAACGCTCTCTCTCGTCTGCTGCACGGGAGAGGAGCTTCAAGAGAGAAGGTAAAGTCCGACCATTACACGCCGTCGCCTCAACGCGAAACGTACCACTCGCGTTTTGTACACTTGCCGTCGACCACGTCCTCACACATCCCCGCTTGCGCTTACTGAGTGAGAAGCGAGGGATATCCTCGAACAAGATTATGCCGTCGCGGGCAAAGCCTCGCATGTTCTCTTCAGATGTCGAGGAACCTCGGCACGACCCAGAGGGGAAACATATGAGCAGTCGTTGTTTTAGACAATCCCTGCGAAGAGACAGCAGAGGCAACGCTTTAGAGGCCAACGGTATTCGACTCGCGTACGCACAAGCACCACGGGGCGCGTCCAATCGATAACCGTAAAGCATTCTAACGTGCGTAAACTGTACCACTTTTCGGCGTCAGTATTTAAAGCTATTCTTGCTGTTTATTTATTGTTTTTTTAGTTTTCTTCACGAGTCCCGTTTGGTATGTACTATAGATTGTCTCGTGAAACAGATTGTCGCTTTCGCTCTCTTGGACACAAGAAAAATTGTAAGCGCCGGCAGCTCTAGCTTTAGTGCATCGATATCTACAGAAGAGAGAGTTTGATAGCGAGACTACATTGTACTGCATTGCTTTGTTACAGGAACAATGTTGTATACGCTTTTCTTTTTGCCGCGGTTCATAACATCACATTACGTGGTTGGTATCGGAGTACACCGTCAAAAGTATTTACTGGTCCAAATAATATTGTAGTTCCCAGCAGAACGAGCAAAATCAAGGACAATTCTAAGCCTCGTTTAAGCTTAAGTCCCGACGCAGCCGACTCTACGAGCTAAATGAAACCAATCAAGACCCTCCAAAGCACAAGTCACTAGAGTTTTCAGTACATGATTGGTCCAGTAATGATAGAACACGTAAATAAACATGAGAAACGCCATGATGGTGAGTTTTTGACGCTGTCTGTTTTTTCCTATCAGCACGTAGCGCCAGTTGTGTCAGGACTTAAGGTGAAACAAAGTATAGATCAACTTTTTTTTAACAAAGAAATGAAAGAAAAGGAAATGCATAAGGCTCTTTGTTTGAACTAGACCTTTGTTGTAAGGGTCTCTGGTCTTAGTTTTCATGACTACACTGGAGAACAGCTACGGGGTCGTGTTCACACCAGTAGAACTCTTCAGTGACAGTTTCTTACGCAGTCAAAAAAAAAAATCAAGTTTCATTTGAAAGTAGTCATGTAAAGCTGCGAACATCACCGACTCCAAAGTACGTACTTGAAAAAAGGCCGCAGTTTCAGGAGATACTCGTGAAGGCATCTCTGGTTGAGTCAAAGTCGCCATGGGCCCTCCGACAGATTCAACAGGCGAGCTGATGGTGGTACTACCTCCTGTAAAAGTTCCTCGCATTTCTATAATGTTTTCAAAGAACTCTTCATCAAGAGCCGAATATTTTCGTTTTAGGCGACATCAATGTTTGCTTACTCTGACATACTATTCGAAATTTGAACCAGAAACACGATACTGTGTAGCCGACGGGAGCAGCAAAGTCATACAAATGGCAATAAAAACAAAAGACTCTACGTGATAACGGCGTTCCATCAAGATGGTACCTTCGCTCGAAAGTAGCTACAAAATGGCTTTTTTCTTCTTATGTGAAAAGCAGTGTAATGGTGACCAAGAACTTGGTGAGGCTGACATTAAATGAGGATTTCGGTGAACACACGTCCAAACTCGTGTTCATTTTTGGGCATTCCGATAACGTGGAACAATTGCTTGTAACTCATGTCTTTAAACGTCTTTTTTTTTTTTACACTGGCGTTTATTTACGTAGCAACTCCTTGTTTCGCTTTGCCGCGTTTTATTCCTTCTTTAGTCTCCGAGTCCGTAAGTACGTGCCAAAGGCCGCGTGTAATGTTGTATTACATTGTACTTGTATATTTCTAGTCATGATTAGGTTTTGTTAATCTGAGGAGCAAATAAAAAAAGTGGGTTAAGGTTGAAAAACTGCATCGCGTGATTTCTCAGTTTATGGACCCCTGCCAGTGTGCTGCGTTCACTAGGCGTTTCTGTAGGATGCGAATTTTCAGACGGAGCAGCGTCAACACCACCTAGAAGACAAGACTGGCGCGTTACGTCATCTTCGGTGTGTCCTCGACCGGCCCCTAGCGACAAACACGCTGAAACTGGACGAGAGTAGCCGCAAAGTGGCGGACATGTGCGTCTTGGTGTCGCCGCCTAATTTGCGGAGCGCAAGTTCGCCTGCTTCATTTGCAGGGGTTGTGGTAAGGTCAGAACGACACCGAACTCCTATAGGCTCTGATTGACGGATAGTGGGTTAGACCTCGAGGAAGCTTGCATTGAGGTGTACCCGCTATGGTTTACTCGGAGCCAATCGGAGCTAGGAGTTACTCTGACGTCACCTCAACCTCTGCGAAAGAAGCAGACGAACTTGCGCTCCGCATAGTCACTGGCAAAATGAGAACAACCGGGAGGAGCTTCTGCAGTTGTCTCGCCTCCAACGCGATTGAGCTTCCTACTTTCGACAACGCTTCGGTGCCTCGTGCAACTCGTGCGCGCGCAAATCCGCACGGCGGAAGGCAGCCTGCTGGAGGCCACACGTTCGAAAGACACGCCCTGCCGTACTCACGCTCTCAATGACTATGCGGAGAGCAAGTCCTCTGCTTCTTGTGCAGGAGTTTCGGGGACGTCAGAAGGACGCCGAGCTCTGATTGGCGTGCATTTCAAGGATATTAGAAAGGCCTCAACGCTAGATGCCTTGAGGTCTACCGACTATTTTTCTAAGGCGAAAGCCTCCTATGTCCCATTACTCGACAAGGCGGCATCGGCATTGTGCCCGAAAGGTTGCCATAAAAATACGACACCAAGCACGTGCCGCTCAAGGTCAAAGCGGACGCGCTTCAGAAATAAAACACAAAGAAAAGCACAACGCAGATGCTTCGTAACGGAAGCCGTGAGGCCGGCGGAGGCCCTCAAGGTCAAAGCGGACGCGCCTCAGATATGAAACACAAAGAAAAGCACAGCAACGCAGATGCTTCGTCACGGCAGCCGCAAAGCCGGCGGGGGTGCTGCGCCTGCGCATTGGGGGAGCGTGACGTCACCGCCTGAGCGCCATGTGCAAAAGGGAGACGTGGCGCACTGTTTTGTAGGAACACTTTCGGATTCCTACACGTAAACAGCCTGAAGTGTCTTCGGTGTGTCTTTGTGAGACGCGCTGCAAGATGCGCTGGCTCGTGGAGACTCTGCGCGGATCAACTATATCTGGTTTCACCTTAAGTTCAGACGCAGCCGACGCTACGAGCTGATGGGACCAATCAGACGACGTCAAAAACACACCATCATGGTGTTCGTCGTGTTACTGTGCGTGTTCGATCATCGCTGAACCAATCCTAAACAGAAAAGGTCCACTGAGTTGAGCTTTGCTCCCTGCTTGATTGGTCCCATTAGCTCGTCGGCAGCGTCTGGACTTAAGCTGAGACGAAGTCTAGTGATCGCGTTCGGAGAGGGGGAGGGGGGCGCAGGCCTTTTCTTCGACGAGGCAATGACAGTGTTATCACCTCCTAAATAACAAGGCCGGAGGGATGAATTCTCAACACCAACTAAACAGACAAACGCGGGGCAGGGGTTGGACTGTACACGAGTGTGGCTTCAGCGTTCGTGTCTTCAGTCGCGAGGGGGTTTGAGTAGACTGTGTTTCCCCCTCAACTAAGCCCTTCGCAACGAAGAAGCCGCTACTGAGCCCACGCGGGCCGTAGAGTTCCTGGTATCGTAGTGGGTTGCGCAGAGCCGTTGCGGGACGGCGAAAACGATCAACAAAAACTCCCTACCGACTGAATACAAGTCTCAGTGAAACAATAATGCAAAACTCGTTACATGCGGGGCCCCATCTGCCATTGTAGGTGACGTTGAAAGTTATTATACGGTCTTGTTATCCGGAGATGTTGGCAGTGCCTCTGCACCAACGCATCATCATCAGATCGTTAAAGAAATGGGTATGTATACTACATCATTATTCTTGTCCCATCAATTTCCTTCTGGTTTTAGTCACAATGGTGTAGTTCCACTGTTCGTCGCGATCCCGGTGGTGGTACAGCAGTAGAGGTGCGCTCGACAAACATCTACTCAGCTTTAGCTCGTTCTACAACCAATCAGTCGACGGAAACTTCGTCAGCGCGGGATGAGATGCTGCAACTACACCGACTTTTGCGTCCGCTCGCTTTCACCACCGATGGTTCTACTGGCCACCACCAGAATCGTGAGAATAAGTAACATCGATAGAAACATTGCCATTTTGCATCAGAGGAAGCGTAAAAAGGCCATAAAATGAGCGTGGAATCCCGCGAATAATTTAACTTGAAAGGGGCCGTGCAACAATATTGGGTGTTCCTAACTTTACACAAGCTTGCTGGCACTAGTAGGACCCACGTATACTCGCACGCAACGCCACTGACGAGGCTGTGTTACTAATCCTATTCGAATGATTTCGAGTTACTCCGGCGGATCATGTCACTTGACAATACAGATAGAGCAACGCTGAACGCGAGGAGGTTTCCGAACGCCAAGGTACAGAACACTTACTCTAGAGTGAGATGGAGAAAATTTTGGAACTCGGCCCCAGAGCTCCCTTGTTGCTGCGTAATATCAAGGATAAAAGCGGACGTTTTCTTTCAGTCTCTTCTTAGAAGAACATTACCCGAACTTGTGGGGATAGCATTGTTGGTGTTGTCAACAATGCAATCCCCAAGATTACGTCATGAAGCTTTCCGATCCCCGCGGTAACAATATTTAAATGTGGCTCATACAGTCGACACGACCATTGCGTGAGCATACGAACTGTGCTCGGGACACTCAATGCCTCGGCATTCATTCGAGTAGTAGCTCGTGCCCAATCGTTGCGATGACGGGAATCGCCGAACCTTAACAATGTGTGAAACTCAGCGCGTGTCCTGTGCTTTGCTAACCCCACCGCGTGGCTATGGCAAAAACATTGGCGGCATATTATAGGATCTAGATCACGTGACCGTTAGCTTTGGTTTCATGTTGAAAGGGTAAATGCTGCTCGTGTTTTTTTTTTATCTTTTTTTTTTTTTTGTAAAGAGAGAGAAATAGAAACCAATGGGTGTTTTATATGTTAAGAGGGTCAATTAATAATTCTAAGCGGTATTAACTGAACGTGCAAAAATTGTTGCTCGACCCTTTGATGTTTCCTCATTAACCATTATGTTAAAGGAGAACGGAGTGCCGGAATCGCTGGCACATATGTTGAGTCTTGTCCCCATGGATCCATTCGATGGCACAAGCCACCGCCCAATTTAAAAGGACTCAGTCGTACGCATCCATTTGATTCGTTCATCTCACATCTCCCCCCCCCCCCCCCCCCCCCCCCCCCAACCCCGTTTCGATCTGGATGTGCATTGCACCGGCGTACGGTCCTGTATTACTACTGCGTGATGCACATTCAAGACCCCAAGCTAGCGGTTGTAGTGGGGTTCCTAAATTTCTAATCTACAGCTGAGAGAAAAGTCGCCTGTTGAGGCAGACCAAGTTCAAGATGTGTAAGTATACCCACACCCCAAAGTGATTTTTAGACGCTCCCAAATTAACGTCACAGATTTGTTTAATCGACTGCCACCAGTTGATCTACAGAAAGACAAATACAGAATCATGCGCTGCGGTCAAGTTGACTGTGCATCAATGGCAGTACAATGGCGGTTCTGTGCCATCCAGGAGTAAGCAATATATCTGCTGCGCTCAGTGGTAGATGCTCGGACAAAGCGTTTTGAAATCATTGCACGCCTTTCATCCTAGGATGAATATGTACATCAGTCGAGAAAAAACGATGCGATAGAATCAGACTACTAGTAAACGTTGAATATTCTGACATAAATATATTTCTCCTCAAGACCAACCAAAGTGACAATAAATAAAAATTTAATAGAAAACAGGCAGGTGAGTTAACTGTAACACTAATCATCCAATCTTCCATTATGGACAAAAAATTTATTATTCGAAGACATCTGTTATCAAGTTAAATCGACCTTCAATAACATCTCAGCGGAAGGATTATTGGTTAGAGCCACTGAAAATATGATGGAGCATAGTGCATACAAAATACATCTGTTAATACCAGACGCAGCCCACGGTATGGGAAGCGTGCGACAAGACAGTGGCGTCGCGGTGCGACTCCCAGCTGAGTCGTTTGGCGGGAACATCAGTTGAGTCGCCGCGCCCTTTTAGGTGTCGCACGCTCCCTATTAACACTCTGCAGCTAATCAGATTGCTTCGTTATTGTCGCACATTTCTCATTATCACTCCGCAGCCAATCAAATTGCGGCGTTACTAATAATGAAGTCTGAAGAAGGAATCAGGCACAGCATGAACATAACATGCCCTGCCGTTCTCACTGACAAAGAACTGCAGGGATCATTATAAATTCATGCGCTGCCTGATTACTTCTTCGGCCTTTATAATGAGTAACGCCTCAATCTGATTGGCTTCGAAGTGATAAGAAGCGTGCGAGAAGACAGTGGCGCCGCGGTGCTGCTCCCAGCAAAGTCGTTTGGCGGGAACATCAGTTGGATCGGCGCGCCCCCTTTAGGTGTCGCACGCTTCCTATACGAGCTGATGGGACCAATCAGATGGAGCGTCAAAAGCGCACCTTTGCGTCATGCTTCTGTACATGTACTATCATCGCCTGAACCAATCATAAAGAGAAAAAAAAGGCCCAGTGACTTGTGCTTTGGTCACTGCTTGATTGGTTTCATTAGTTCGTAGCGTCGACTGCGTCTGGACTTGAGCTGGAACACTCTATTGACTGACGGGACAGAAACGACAGCGCTCGAGCTTCCTATATTCTTTGATACCGATTCATCCTCTCGTGAACTTCGAGCGTGCATGCGCCACTATAGCACGACGGAAGGCAACAAACGCGTGCTGGAAGCCGGACATACCAATGAAACGCCTTGTCGTTCTCATCGTGTCAGTGA